CGATTGGCTCCACCAAATGATTGCTTCATATCGTTGTGCATGCGTTCCATTTGCATTGACCATTCTTGAGGGCTTTGGTAATCTTGGATAGGACTCCTGGCGCCGGCATTAGGACTTTGCCTTCCATAATGAGCAAAAGAAGTTTCAGCATTCTGATCGTTTTCACTTTTCACGTAAGTGTTAATGTCAGTCAGCAAATCTATAGTAGATCTTATCTCGAGCCCAGGAGGTGTCGCTTCTAAGTGACTGAAGAGCTGGAGGAGAACGTTCTCAAGCGACGATATCCACTGGCTCTGTTCCAACGTGTCTCCATGATGATCCTACCCTCCAGGGCGAGGCGGATTCCGATTCCGATTTAGGTGGTCATAAGCTTACTAACGTTGTTATTTCTCAAGCTATTTTTGCTCTTCTTATAACATTTTTTTAATTTCGGCTTATTCCTATGCTTGACGTGCAGCGTCGACAGCCATTTTCAAAGATCTATTGATAGCTACATCGAGATCTTTCAGCGTACTGTTGAACGACTTGAGTGAAATCATCTCGGGGTGGCGGAACATAGCTTGCAGTGTTGCATCCGAACAGTTTTGCAAGTGTTCAAATCCAAGCCTGAACTGCGCCTTAGTTTCAGGATCTGTGGGCGGCTGCGGATGATAATAGGCAGTTGATGTGGACAGCTGCTAAGATTCCAAATTCTGTTGAGGTTACTTGGGATCACGAGTTTCGTTCGCACTGAAGCGCATGGCAGATCCCGATGTCGTCTAGCGCCTCGACCGGCCGCTGCTGTTCTTGGAGGCCTTCTGAGATGACTGGAGGTCTTGCATCGTTGGCGAAATTTCCAGCTTCGTAATTCGCACGTAAAATATCACTGGTTGTCAGTTTTGATTCAAGTCAGCGCTGGTATAGCCGAGCGACGAAATTGAGTTCCGAAATTTGAGCGCTTTATTCCTTTTACTGCCATTAAATTGTTCGCGGAAGGCACGACAGATAACCATGCAGCTGGTAGCATGGTTACGCACATTTCAATTCTCTTTCTTAGTTTCAATAACTCCCAATTCGTTCAATAATTTCGAGATTTTGTTCAAACAATTGGGAGATTTCAAAATCTAAATCAATCATGATATGTGAAAAAATATCGATGAATATATATTTTCTTCAATCTGTTTAGCTTGCTGATCGCAAGGTAAGTAAAAATATGTAAGTTCAACAAGAACTGAACTGCACTTTGACTGAAAATTTTTTAATGTTCGTATTCTGAAGCGTATAATAAAGACCATCACGATGAGAAAGCTCGTGAGCAAAAATATCAAGTTCCTTGACACTGTTTACTCCCCAATCAAATTTTTTTTAGAAACAGAATACAATAAAGGCTGGATTTTTGCCCAATGAACCTTTTGCATGTTCCTGAAGCACAAAAAATTAGAAATAAATCAAATTCCAGACCAAACTTTTCAGAAAAGTCTTCAAGTCAATTTTGGTGGCAACAACTGCAGATACAATTTTCCATTTAAAATTAACAACTGCAGATACAAATTTTAAATTAAATACTATGGCATTAAGGGATCATCAGAGCGAGAACTTCTTGTTTCAAAACGCAGCAGTAGTAAGTAAGTTCGGAATAACAGCTAACTCATCAAGCTTTTAAGTAAATGAGAATGATTATTTGAACTAACGCAAAATGATTATTGTCAGTAAGAATCAGGAAAGTTCGAATTGGCTGCTCTATAATATTTTAATCAACAGATATCTTGATTAACACATTATCTAAAGAAGTAGAAGTGCCTGCCTTGAAAAACCTAGCGAATGAGTTCAAGAGGTCATAAGTTGGTCTTTATAACGCCATATAACTGATGCCACATAATTGAAATAGTGCGCAATATTATATCTCTTAACATGAATTAATTTATCCTGGTTGTGTTTTGCTCTCAGGAAATGATGCATAAATGCAATAAAATGAATAGCCGCATTTACCGGTCGTTATGAACGTGAAATGAACATCAGTGTACCTACATTTAATATAACATAACATAACATAATGATGTCGGCGCTGAAATGTAGGCCTGATGTGGCCTGTCGCCGATTCTTTTCCTTTTCGTGCCTTGTTCATAGACCTAAACTCGTGTCATTTGACCGGATCTTTTCATGACTGACGATAGTTTGAAGTAGCTACTAGACTTCCACCGGGTTCGATAAGGAGCTAGGCATTTCAAATCTGAACATATATTTTTCCATAGCTTTATCTAGTCTGTTCTTGAACGCGTTCATACTTGGAGCTCCAACGATGTCATCGGGGAGGCTGTTCCACATGTCGGTGATTCGAAGCGGGAAGAAATTTTGTCGCGTGGAGAAGTTGCAGCGCAATTTTTTTAGCTTATAGCCGTGGCCCCTGGGGTTGGTTCTTGTTTCAAATTCTAGTAACCCTTCAGGGACCTTGTATAGACCATGAGTATACTTGTATACTTCAATGAGGTCCCCACGCAGACGTCGATAACTGGGGCTTGGAAGCTTCATAATCTTCAATCTTTCTTCATAGGACTTGCCCTTCAAGCCTGAAATTATCCTTGTTGCACGTCTCTGAACATTCTCTATTAAATTTCTGTCCTTTTCAAATCTCGGTGACCACACAACGTTTCCAAACTCTAGACTCGGGCGTACGTCGGGTTACTTAGTCGGCGTTATGTCGGGTTACTTGGGGGATTGGATAACAGTTGAGGTACGGCAATAATGGGTTTAAACCAGTGGTTCCCAAAGTGGGCGATATCGCCCCCCTAGGGCCGATGAAAAGATTTTGGGGGGCGGTAGGGAAGAAGAGGGCGGTTGGGGGGCGATAGGGGGGCGACAATCCGAAGTCAAAGTCAGAAGTTAAAAAGTTTGTTTGACGATTTGTACACAACACGTGCAGCACATGACTCCCAGCGATGGTTTTGTCACACAGATCTGTTTTTAGCCTCTCCTGGGTTTACGTCTCGACGGTCTCGGACAAATTAACGGCCGGACTCGCGTCCGGTCTCACTTCCAATTGCCAAATTCAATGATCAAGGAATATCTCTCAAACTAATGAACTTAACTTGATGAAACTTAGTACACGCATTAATTACATTAGGATCTAACAATAATGTTTAGGTTGTGAAAATTGCTTGAATTTTGCCATCGTTTGTTTTTGTCATAGTTGTATGGCAATACGGGCCAAAATTCACAGTGATCAAGTAATTTCTTCCAAACTCGTTTAGCTCGTGAAATTTTTTTCGATTGCGCCTTAGTTCGCGAGTTTTTTCGCCTTCATTCGTGATTTAAACAGCAATACGTGTTTATTTAAATTCGCAATAATCAAGAAATTTTTTCCAAACTGCTGAACAGATTTGAACGAAAATTAGTATTTAAATACCTAACCTCAGCAACTGTGATGTTTAGCTCGTTACGGTGATGTTTAGCTTGTTACAATTTTTTCGGTTTGCCTTCGTTTGCCAGTTATACGGCCTTATACGGCTCTCTTGGTTAAACCGGCCGGTAGAAAAGCCGGTCGTTCCTCCAATATCTGTATAACTCGCGAACGAAAGCAAAATAAAAAAATTGTCACAAGCGAAACATCACTGTTGAGAGGTTAGGTATTTATATACAAAGTTTCATTGAAATTTGTTCTGTAGCTTGGAAGAAATTTTTTGATCGCCTCGAATTTAAAAGTGACAAATTACCCGGCGATACGGGCCGAATATAGGGAAGTGTGAAATCAAGAATGACGGTGAAATGGAAAAAAATTGCAAACAAAGGTAAAATCTACAAAAAATTATAAGCTAAAAAAATCACCGTTTGGTAGTTAGGAATGTATATTCAAAATTTCGTTCATATCTGTTCAATAGTTTGGAAGAAATTCTTTGATCACTACGAATTTCGGCCTGTTTCGCAATATACGCGTAACTCACGAATGGAAGTGACATTTTAAAAAATTACAAGCTAAATAACACCATTAGGTTCTCATGAATACATGTTCCAAGTTTCATAGAGCTGCGTTCATTAGTTTTGGAGATACTACTTGATAATTGAATTTGGAGATTGGTCGAGAGACCGGCCACGAGTCCGGCCGTAAATTCGCCCGAGACGTCCTAGGTTTCTAGTGCTGAAACAGTTGAAACAGCTGAAAAACATATTGGTTGACTAAATGGGGTTCTATTTGTGAAATACACATTTGTGTTTAGCCTTTCTCTTTTAAATTGCAGCGTCCTAAATTTCAAGGAAGAGGCGCATGTCTGTGGGGGGCGCTAGAAATTCACTAGGGAGCCAAAGGGGGCGCCAGCCTGAAAAAGTTTGGGAACCACTGGTTTAAACAGAAGTGATGGCAAGTTTATGCTGTGCATGACTTGTATGTCTTTTATAATATAATTGCATAAACTACGATACATGTATCCATACTGTCCTCGGAAATGAATATTTAGTAAATGTGAATTTGTGAATAAATGCACGTCTTATTTAGGTCAAGTTTCGGGCCGAATATTATAGCGCACTTATGCCGCACCCTAAAACACATAATTTCAATAAATCGAAACCGTTCTTGACCAAATTAACATGGAAGATGTTCATTCGAAAGTCGCTACTGCGAACGGTGTGACAATTCATTTTTATTGTATTTATATATGTATTTATTTATTTCGAGGCTATTTAAATTAATTTTCGATCTCGAACACGCAACTCACTGCTTAAATTTTATTTTGCTTAATTAACCGCCCGGCCTCCTCGCCGATTCTGACCAGAAACTGGCACACAGAGCTGGGATCGAACCCGCACCTCTCTGCGCCAATCCTCGTACTTTGAACTGTAACCTCTGGGCCACAGGGCCACCCTATACTGAGTTTTCAAATTATTAATTCGACGCATTTAGCCTTGATATTATGTACTTATTCGATAACGCATTGATTTTTCCATCGAAAAAAACTATTCAACCATAACATAAGTGAGGCTCTATAATCGCAACACAAATTAATTTTCTCAGATATTCGAAATTTTCAGGGAAAATACCATCATTTGAAGCTATATTTTATTCATCGAAGTTTAATTGCTTTCCGAACTGTCTATTCAAAAATAATCAAATAATCAGCTCCCAAAAACATCAAAATGAACAACTGAGGAAAACATAACATTAGCTGAATGAAAAAGGAAGTATTTATTTAAAATAGTACCTTGTTCTACGATGATAATTTGTTCATGTATGTTCTCGAATAACATTACGATATATCTATTCAAACAATTTCAGTATGGTTTTTCATCGAAATTTGAACACCCCTGGATCTGAAGTTTGCGAAGGACTCAGCTCTCTGAGAAATTGTTTCTGCTGTTCACGCTGCCTATCGACCTTAAGTTTGTCCCATTTCTCGGTGCCGAAGACGCTCGACTTGACCAAAGAGTTCCAAGGGAGCTCAACGAGACCAACTTTCTTGGCGATGGCCGATCTAACCCTGCAAATGAGACGCGGACTCAAACCCTGCAAGTTTTTCGGACGACTATGTCTCGTCCAGCACGAAGATGTGATGAGTTCGTACAGAATGATTGACTTGCCATTTTAAATCTATGGGGATGATATATTAATATTTGTTTATATTATACAGCATTATATTATATTATATAGTACAAGAATCGGCGACAGGCTGATTCTTCTTGATGATGATTCGATATGATAGTTATGTCACGTTACTCCTACGTATCAATTGCACATGACAAAAAATTCCGCAACATATGGTAAGTCAGTTGGAATGAGGTGCTTGCTGTTTTTTCCAATGGTTAATAATTTCAAGCAATATAAATTTCGTTAGATAATATTATTTCATTTTGCTGAATATTATAGTTGAAGCCCTCGGGATTGTGGTTCAGATTATTATTTTAGTATGGAGACCCAACAGTGTGTATCTTTAATATAATTTCACAAGACTTTTAATAAAAATTAGAACAAGAACCTCATTTAAATATTAGGTCACACACGCCGATACCATTTTGCGAATTCCCGAATACTACGATTTATACCGATGGGAAAGATTGGTAACAGAATTACAATGTATCCATTATATTACTGTTTTTTTAAACCAAATGTAATTTTTCTTTTTGGGGAGAGGGCTGTTCCCCAGTTAAATGTTAGATTATAGGTTAAGCGGATGGCGGATTACATATAGAATTATCCATCACTAAGTACAAACAAATCTTAACAAACTGAATATCTACAAATATCCTCATTTTTCACTTTTTCTTTTTTCATGGGTTTACCTGTTGGCGAAGTGACTTGCAGATTCGTCTTGCCCTCTGCGCATGGGCGGGAGGTAGTGCACGTCACACACAATTGCCCATGACGTCATCATGGACATGCAGTAGGAGGTGAAGCCTCCTTCGAACCAAAACGCATCCCCGTATACCGGGTCAAACTTGATGGCGATCGGGAAAATGTCGCAGTCGACCTACACAATAGTAGTCAATTAGTGACAGCAGAAAAGTCAATAAATATAGCAGCGTGAATTATTCTTGAATTTATTTCTAATGCTGGATTAACTGAAACTACTCGAACGCGGTCAAAATCAGTGACTGGACGGAAAATATCAATGACCATGAAGAAAAGTTAGGGGCCAAACAAAGTAAATAAACATAGGCTAAAGTTCGTTAATCACGAAATAAGTTTTTTGCGTCCCTCATGGAGATAGTAAACCTTTTTTTAAAGTAATAAACATGTTGAATATATCAATAATTAGTTACCTCAAATGCCCCTTTCCGGAACTCCAAGATGGCGGTGTTGTTGACGCACACGCCTTCAGGGAAGATCAGGATCGGGGGCAGCTCGGGATGCTGCGTGTGTTCCCACAATCTTCAAACACGGAGCTTGTCAATTACCTTTGCCAATAAAATGCACTAATAATTCATTGGTATCAATTCCCCTTCAGGCGGTTGATGTAGAAATTATTTAATGATTGGGCTGAAGCTGAAATTATCTGCATGCCTCTGATTGTCTGCATCAAACAAATATATTATAAATACAGGGATCAGCCGAACTGGCAACGTAATGCATCGAATGTGTGTACGTATAGCTTGATTCGTTTAGTTTGCTTCTCAACGAGTAAAGGTTCTCATCTATCGGGGCCAAAAATTATTGAAAAATATTAACGATTTAGTAACAAGAAACATAGCATTTCAGGCTTTTCCATAAATAAGATGCATAAACGTAGACAAGACATGAGCTATGAGTGCTCATGTCATTAGCGCACAGGCGGGTGGTGGCTTGTCGGTCCCGAGCGTCGGTTCTCTCGAACCAAATGTGCGCCGAGCTCTTGGCCAGGGCGCTCATGAACATCCCAAGCAACCCTTTCGTGCGCTGGCCCACCTGTCAATTCATTTCAAAGTTTAGATTAAAAATAATGGGATAGGGGACGGCGCAGTTTCACCTGTTCATATTTTGAGTTCGTGCGTGAGCGCCTAAGACAATGTGATAACATGCGAGTATTATCCAACAGTGAATTCATGCATTGAAAAGCTAGCATATATTTGTCGAGCACCTATCGTCGAAGGAAATTTATGTTTGCGCTAAAAGAAGAATTTGTTTGCATTCTCGAATCATCAAACTGTCTTGTTTAAATTCTCTAGATATTAGTCAACCGAAAATTGAGTAAGTGATGATACTAATACCATAAACGATTCGCTGTTTAGCCTGGATTAAAGCAGTATGGAAACACTCAGTAATTTCAGTGGAAACTTTGAGATAAATGGCACATGAAATTTTCCTCAAAATTCAGTACTTGTCCTAGGAATGGCTTTAAGAAACAGAAGCGCAGCGGCCTGACCATGTCATAGCAGTTGTCGGTAGCCAAGATCATGCCGTCAATGGGGGACGTGTGGTTGGCCACAGCTATTCCTCCGCTCGGACGATTGTGTTTGTCATGGAACCTTCAACACAGGCAAGAAAATATCATGTTAGGTGGACATTTTGGAATAAAACTTCGTGAATCTAAATTTCCACTTTGGCTATTCGATAGCAGTTTTAAGGTTCTTGAGCATCGTCAAAAATTTCAAGTCTGTATGTATTCGATATTCTTGTACCACCATTTCATTTTATTTCATTGTTTGTGATTTTTAAACTGGCACAACCATTGAAACACAAATCATGCCTTATTTCGATATTTAGCGAATGAATTATTCCGATTAAAGCTTAAATTTTACAACCTCGGCACAGAGGAACATTTGTTTGGCGACAACTCATCTCTGTTTTTGATCATTTTCTTGTGATATTCCTCCAACTAGCGTTTAGATTACCTGTGTGGCAATAGGAATAGTCTTTGGTGTAACCAAAATTGTACAACGTGGAACAGTTCGTAATAAACCTACACCGACTACGGGTGTACTTCCCTTTGCTCCTTCGCCCACCACTCATCAACGTTGGTCACATTAATCTCTTGTGTTACACTCCCCCACCTGGCGACGACTGAGAGGGAACCTGCCACGAAGTCGAAGCCCCACGAGACGACGTACGCGTTGATCATTCGCTTGAAAGGACCCTGGGGCAGCCTCCCCACCATGAAAGTCCAGAGCGACAGGTTGGTCAGGGACAAGATGAGGACCAACACCCGCATGGGCATCAAGAAACAGTACCGGATGATCAAACCGATGAAGAAGAACCCCGCAAGAGTTCTGCTCTTCGCAATCTCCTTTTTGCGAACGATGGTCCTAATGGAAAATAAACTGAATTAAAACAGCTGCTGAATTGTAAATCTTTAGCAAACATGTATCATAATGCAGCAACTTAGATGAGTCTTAGGTAAACGCAGCAACTTAGATCAGGTAAACGCAATTATTCAAATTTAATACGCATCGTATTAGTGAAATGTAATCAATTCATGTCGACTCAAGTTCGACTTATTTATTGAGACATTTTCAAAGTAAAATAAAATATTCAATGTCACTAGTTCTCATATTATTATGAAATTATCTGCACACGCGTCTCCTGGCTGTGCACTCTTACTATAAAGTACTACTTTCTTCATTTCGAACCCCTGTTTGTTTAATCATCTTCTTATTTTACCGACGATAAAACATGATCAAGACGCGTTTATTTCAGCCAGAGGCGAGATGTCTTAACGACGGTTAGTGTAATTTGATGCAGGTCATACATATTGGCGATAAGCTTTTTCCAGTTTTAAACAGTTTTAATTAGAATGTGAAGTGTATTTCTTGTAATATCTTAGTGACACGCGATTGTCAGTTGTAATCCATGACTTATTATACATATATTTGTGGAAGTCAGTGTTCATGTCAGTCAGGAACTAAAATTTTCCTTTCGGAAAAATTCCGGAATTTTTCCAGCCCATAAAAAATAAGGGTTGAGGGAATTCGTAAAAAATGTCTATTTTATTTTTATTTAATTAGTTTTAAATTGTTTCATGCTTAATGCATGAAATGGTAGATTCATGCTAAATGGTTTTTTTTTGAAGAGGTTTCTGTTGTATTAACACAGTTATAATTTGGAAATTATAACAGGATTAGGGGAAACGGCGATTCTCAAACACCATCCCGCGCAGCGCTGAGGCCAGCTGCTTGCCGTTCATAATTTTGTTGTCATAATGAAGTACACAAGGCTGTTGTCACAATGTACAGTTCATAATGCTGTTGATTTACATATTTATTGTTTCCGAAGTTCATCAGCTTATGAGGATATTTCCCAGAATTTTTTTATGTTATTTCGTGTCAGCTTTCTTAGTTTTATTAAGTCTGCCCATAAGAATACAAATATGAAAATTCGAGATCGAGTTCTGACCTGGACAAGAGGTTCCATGTCTTGAGCTGCTCCCTAGAGAAGCTACTGTTTACACAGTTGTCCACGATGGCGCGCACTCCGGCCGACAAGTAAACCATGGGCGCGTCTAATGAAAAATGAAGCTCTTCTGATTTTTTAAATGAGCCATCTAAACTTTTCTGCTGATTTTCACAAGAAATTGAGCCCGGAATTTTTTGCATTTCCGTATGTTCAGCAACTGTTTCTGTTTTCTCGATCTCGGAGAAGATCTCCTCCCAGCTGGACTCGAGCGATTTAGAGTTTTGACTTGAATTAGGATGCTCCGCTTGAATTTTATATTGTATCACTTCTTCGTCCAAATTCTCTTGTTTTTCGAGTCCAATATCTCGATAAAAAGTGGTTTCAGACTCAGATTCATCGTCATCATCTGAGGTGAGGTCATCTACTTCGCCAAGACTCATCCTCCGTCTCATTTTCTCTTTATTGGCTGTGACGACCATTTTAACAGCGACCCAAGAGAACACGCGGTCGAGAACTTGGATGTAGAACCTCCTGAGCTTGAGCTTCCTTCCTACGGTCGCCACTAGCAGGAGTGTGGTGAAGATGTACCAGTAGACCGTGGCGGCGTAAGGCAGAGCGCTGCTCATGGCTGACCAAAAACAGGCGTACATTTTTTCAATTGTCGAGGGTTCTTCATGAAGAAACACTTTTCTAAGTGAATCTATTGTAGTCCAGATATCGTTTTCCAATGCAGGAGCAACATAATTACGAACATGATTCAAGTAATCCATCTGTAGATTATCAATATTGCGCACATATTCCGGACTGCGATACAGACGATACGCTGGAACACAGCAGCTCGCATCTCTGTGATATACTGAAGACAAAAATTGCCAGAGACTTCTTCTCATATGCTGCGCCAGTCCTTATCGCTCTTGAGTTGAACGACTCGAGTGGGATTGCCTGATAAAAGATGGATGGCCAAGCAATCTCGAGCTTAACAAGCCATTGGCTGTCAATAATAGTTTATCAACGACTATGAAATAATATAAACTTTTTCAAGAAAATGTTGAGACAATTAATGCGTAATTGTATAGCTTCGCAGTGTGTGGTTAACGATGACAGAAACAATCATATTTTTCGATTACCAAAAAGGGAATTACCCATTCATTTTATCACCAATGACTTTTGACTGACGAGTAAAATTATATTCACATCACTGTTTACACTTGTTTGATAATGACCAATCGACGTAAATAAATAACTACGCGGCTTGAATGAACCGACGACTTACAAACAAAATTTAAAACTTCAAACAAACTTACAAAGTAGTGTCCTTCCGATCAAATAACGTAGAAATAACGTTTTATCCTCGTAAATGAAAAGTTTAAACGCTTAATGAACGTAAACAGCTTGGTGGGGTATTTGTGTCTACAATAAAGTGATATCACGTCGTGTGCACGCTGTACCGTCGGACGTGGAGACGATCGGTAGGTGAACAGAAGTGGTCTTCTATCTCGAGTGTTGTTATCAGATCGAGAGGTCGACCACCTGTGATGTGTGATCATCATGCGGTTATGCGGTCAACTCGACAATTCTATTCGGAATTGTATAGCGGGTTATCAAACAGCGGGTTATGCCGCATAACTCCATGCACATTACACAGTCCATGAGTGAAAAATTAGATCAGTCCTCACTGCAGTGAGTGACAGATAGTGAATTTTCTCGTCCGTCCGTCCGTGAAGTCACGGACGGATGGACATGACGAGCACGATAGCTCCTTCTTTCAAAAATGAGAACTTGTGCTAAAAGGCTGCTTGTAGCATCTCCACTTGGAGTCAATTTGTTATAAAGGCTGATTATTATATTTTTTTTTTTAGTACAAATCTCAATGAATAAATGGATTTAAAATTTTGGATTCCGATCAGCTAAATTCGAGATCAAGGGTGTGAAATCGCAATTCCACATGGACGTTTCAGATAACATTTTTGTTTGGACCTTCAGTCACCAGTTTGTCTTGCATCGTAGTTTACCTGTCATTTCATTCCCGTGTTCTGTTCATATGTGCCATAGGAGTTGATTATTTAGGTAAGTCACTGCACGTCCCCATTTGTTTTTTTTTCATGCTTCTTTACCCGGAGAGTCAACCTATTATCTTGCATCAAAATGCCTAAATTATAGGATTCATTGCTAAAATTCTGTTTGGTCATCGTGCAGATACTGTTAGTTGTCCGCAGACTGCCAATAAAATTCTTTGGAAACTCCGATTATCCAGTTGTGAATATTCTCGGATTATCCAGTTATAGGAATATTCTCTGAGACGCTAGTGCATAACAGAGAGTTTAAAAGTCTCAGGGATTAGCCTACCTATCCCAGGCCACGATTAGTTTACCAGCCAGTTAGTTAGCTAAAGACGCTGAGTAGTTCTGGGTCGCGCACAGACAATTCGTTCGCATGGCTTCGTGGTGTATTTTAACTTTTTTTGTTTCGTCAATCCGTGGGATCTTCGGCGCAGTATTTTTTATAGAGCTAGATTTGCATCAAGACTTGAATGTTTCACTCGAGTAGGAAAAAATTTGTACATGTATTAACTGTAATATCCTATTACTATCATAAAATTTCGATTGTCATTTATTTGTGTAGATAACGATTTTTATGTTGACTTGCGGTTTATATTTTTGTAATATTAGTTACGGATATATTTTCGAAACGATTAAACAATAATTTTTGATGGAACGGAACATTAAGAACGAAATGAATAAATATACGGCCTTCTTTTCTGCTACGACCGTCTGAGTTACCGGTCTGCCATTTCTTGAATCCAGTGGAAGACGCAGACGGTAAAAAGATGATGATTATACATAGTTGGGGAACTATCCGCCTTAGTAATATTTCAATTTTATTACAGTTCGGTTCAAGTCTTGAATTTATTATTTTAAGAGATTTTCCTGTTTACCTCACCAACTCGTATCAAGATGGACGCTCTACAAAACGATCAAGTCCTATATAAACTCTAAAATTCTATTTTTACAAATTATTCTAAAAAATACTGGTATGAATGGTCATTAATATGGTATCATGAGCCATCGTATGCTCAATAAATATACGAGCCACGCAAGGCATGTTCTTAAAACATACTCTACCAGTCGAGGTGAGGACTCCGATTGAACGATTAGAACAAAACTTAATCCCAACTTGGACCAGGATTTGCGTCATGTTAGACGCATTTTCACAATGCGTTATTGTACTTGATTAGCCAGAGAAGTATGGAGGTGACAAAATACAATAATTTATGGAAATCTAGGAATTTGTCCGGATGCTTTTTCAGTGGCGATCGGGACCAGTTTCAGTCAGAATAAATGAATTTTTTTGAAAAATCACTATTCCACCGCTTCTTTTCGTATAGTAGGCTACCATCAATTCGACGCTCAAATGCCGGTAATTTTCAGAGTAATGTACCCACCGTTCGATATACGGTGAATTTTTAGTTAAACTAAAGCGAATTTTACAGTCCATATTTTCAACATGACCTTTTCTCGTTTTCAAAATGATGAATGATGAACTCAAAGACTGAGGTACTGAAGAGAGAGACTCGTGGAGCTGCAAGTCGAGTTCAACTCGGACTTTAGAGGGGGCCTTCGCCTGTCAAGTTAAACGACGTCGCGAACTCTGAATTTCTCAGGGAAATTTGAGCCAACTTGGAGGCCTGTGCCTGTCTGGAATTGGGTTAGAATAATTGAAGGACCTCGCATAACCTCCTGATTTTCTTATGACTAAATTTCGCTTGTATGGGAGGCAGGAATTAAGGAGTGGATTAAACGAAGCAGGAATTATGGAGTGGATAGAAAGAGGCAGAAATTATGGAGTGGATAGAAAGAGGCAGAAATTATGGACTGGGGAGTACGAGGCAGGAATTAAGGAGTGGATAGAACAAGGCATGGAGTATGGATTTGTAGGATGACGCCAGGCGAGGCTTCACAGAGCGCATTAGGCGCAGCGAGGCCGAATAATGAAAATAATAAGTTCCATAATATGTAACTTTGTAAGTAAATACATATTCCCAAAATAGCGTCGAGTTTCATCAGGAAGAGGACGAGAAGTGGCGCTGTGGTTCGTGAGCATTCAGGTGTTGCAGGTACGCTGGAGACGAAGAGGAGGTCAGGGAGGGTGCCAGGGGCACGAGGAGAGCCCCGCTCAGGAGGAGAGCAGCAGCTGCAGCAGCAGCAGCAGCGGCAGCAGCCGCCGCAGCAGCAGCAGCAGCAGCTGCAGCAGCAGTGGCAGCAGCAGCAGTGGCAGGTCAAGCAGGCGGAGCGTCTCTCACAGACGTCGGGTCCTTGGTCGGGTCGACATGTTTGTCAGGAGCATCGATCCCTTGCGCTGCGGCTATGTCTGATTTAAGCCCTTTTACCCTCTTTAAAAAACCAACGTGAAGACTTCTACCCAGTCAGATATCTAATACCGCATTGCATACCGTTAAAAATATTCCTAAGCACGTTTGACAACCCTGGTGTCTAATATACTTCGTTCATCCTATAGAAAACAAATGTTTATCACGCTTGGCTTACACTGCAGCTAATTTAGTCAAGCTTACCTTTAAACTCCACGTAAAAAACCCTATGTAAAGTGTTCAAGTGTCTCCACAATTCCACCTCGCAGCACATGAAAATGTGACTAGTTTGTCATAGATTAGAAATGCTTGTGAAATTCTGTACTCAAACCGAACTCCCTGCATGTCCCTCAAGACCGAAAACGTATGTGTGTGATCTCGATACATATAAAAATGTATAACTCAGAACTCACTGCAGTGAATGACAGAGAGCGCATATTCTCGTCGACGAAAACGTGAAGTCACGGACGGACAAACAGACAGACGGACCAATTATCATACCTGATCAGTCTCGGTATATTAAAACATAAACATGAGTCTGCAGTCACTACTTAGTGACGCCCACTAAACTATCATGCCTAATCAGTAACCAGCTGTGTTAATAGATAATTTAATGAAAATTATGTCGCACAAAATCAATCCTGATGACGTCGTAGTAGAATTATATTTAATTCTTCCGAATTTTAAGAGACATCTGAGATAATTTGCTGTAAAAATTAAAAATTGGGTCATGTGAGCGACATGAATGTTTTTAGAATCAACGAGTCATGTTTGAGAGATTCGATGAAAATTATCTGGAGAAAGTTTGTATAATTCACTGACCAAATTTTTCATGTTAAGTCTTGTTTTCACTTTTACTTGTTGCACTAAAAATTTGATAAAAAGTGATATAATCCAACAAAATAGATGTGGAATTTGCCTCTATTACCCGAGGTTGTTTGTCCCAGATTCTAATACAGTAAGGAGGTGCGATTTCGTGAGAACAATTCTTGAATTTTCATTGATGTTAATTCCAAACCATTATATATGTTATTAGTATTTGATGTTTCTTCTGTCGGAAAAATTCTTCTACAGTTTAGTCTCAAAATTAAAATTGTGCTATTCTTTACATTCTTGCTCACTGATTCGCAATTATTTGCATAAAAACGAACTCATTTAAAATATTTGTCAAGGCTAAAGTCATGTCAACATTTTAAATGACAATAATATTGATTACGATATTAATAATAAGATTTTCCTTTTTAATAGCTTCAAAACGTAGATATTCTTCGGTCGTATTTGTTCTGAATTAAATTCTGTACATTGGGGTTTCTCGGGCGTAGAAACAATCGCAAAACTTTCTTTCAAAGGGCTCACTTCAGCTGAAAGTTAATTAAAATTTCAACGTAGGTCAGACGTCCGGAATAATAGCTTCTTGTAATCCACACGCTATAGCTATGAATATTGTAAATAATTAATAGAATTAATCGGAAA